GAACTCTGTACTGAACTCTAGGCTAAAATACTCTATTTATGGAGGTCTATTCATACAGCCACTTGGATGATGGATAGACTTCCCAAATTTATTATATCCAAAATTGAACTCTTAATTTTTTCTCAAATCTGTTCTTCCCATGGTCAATAAATTTTCCTTAAATGTTAACACAGGTGAAATTCAACTTTAGTTAAGAAAGTTGACAGTTTCAACAGCTTTCCTAAATAGACCACTGATTTTGCTAAAATGTATGATCTGAGATTTTCTGAAAAATATATTTGATTCCAGGGTTAAGATATTGATGTCTATGTTGTACACACACACACACACACACACACACACACACTTCCTAAGAAATCATTTGTGTACTTGTTACAGTAGGTAAATAAGTGAAAGTATTAAAAGTGAAAATCAAAGCAACAAGCTTGTCCCATTGGCAAATGAAAAGGGTCCACATCGCTACACATCCAATGTACAATGTATCTCATACAATGAGATGTGCAATACTGTCATCAGAATGGCTAGCATGAAACAGACCGAGAACACCAAGGGCAAGTGAGCAAGTGAAGCAAAGGAAACTCACTTACTACAAGTGGAAGGTGATTTGTAACATCTAATTAGTCTCAAAATGGGCAACTACTATTTCCCTTGCCAACTCAACAGCATCTACTTTGAACCACTTCCATTCTCCATCTCCTTCTGTGGGCCCCTCGACCTTCATTCTTGCCTCGGCTACCACAGGCCTATGTAGAGAGTGCACTGGTTCATGTGGTGGTCAGCACTGGCACTAAGCTAGGTCATTAAGCCTCTTCGGGGAGGTCGGTCTTGTTTCTTTTTATGGGCATCACAAACTCTCAAAATAAGGTAGTCTTGTGTCGGTAAGGCTATCTTGTCGTGACATGAATCGAGTCTTTCTCAGGCAAGGAGATCTGAGAGAAAAAACTCCTGGGACATTATTGAACTGGTATCTGAAGCCTGCATACACTTTGGACTCTTCACCTTTGTAGGCTAATAAATTCCCTCCTGTGGCTGGTCTAAATTGAGTTTCTGTCATTCGTGTTTGACGGTGTTCTCATAGACTACTGAGCTGTTGTTCCTTATCTTTCCAATTAAAACCTTACGTTTTTTAATTGAAGTTTCTGCATCTATTTAGCTTTATCTTAGTGGGGTGGAAGGTTATCTCACCAGACGTCCATAAATAACTTTGAAAGGAAATAAGCTGCTGAGAAAAGTTTTTACAAAAAACTGATGACTAATGCCCTTAATATATAGTTAATACAAGCCAATAAACAAAAACTGAAGAGCACGTCCAACAGAAAAATGAAGGACATAAACAGACAAAAGAAGATGAAAAATGACTAGTATTCTTATGAAAAAATATTCATCTGTACTAGAAATTTTAAAAAATGTAATAGAAATAAAATGCAATTTTTATCTAACAAGTCAGATTTATTAAAAGTGATAACATTCAGTGTTTACAAGTTCTAGTGAGGTAGGTCCACTTAAAACATTGTTGATAGTAATATTAAATAGTACAACTTTTCTGGAGGACAGTTTGGAATTGTGAATCCAATATTTTAAAAACAAACAAATACATGCTTTTCCTAAGGAAATAAAAAAATACAAAGATTTAGGTAAAAAGATATTCTTTCTAGCCATTTATAACAGCAGTCTATTGGGGAATGGTTAAGTAAATCCAGATTTTATCTTGGGGTGTGACATGAACTTTAACTTAATTTCTTTCATGTGCTAGTTCGTTGTCCTAGCATTATTTACTGACTAGTCTAATGTTTCCTCACTGATGTGTGACTATATTTGTTTCCTATCTGCAGTGGTCTGCTTCTAGGCATTCTGTCCTCTTCCACTGATCTCGTTGTTACCCCATGTTAATATCACAAAGACTTAAAGGCACAAACTTAGAATGAGTTTGATATTGGGTAAAAAAGGCTTTTCTGCCTTCATAGTGTTTCAAAAACATTCTGGGTGTCTTTTCCTTCTCCTATTTCTAACTCCAAATACATTTTAGAAACAGCTTATTCAGGTAACCTCAAAGATCCTTTCCTGAGATTTTAAATGGAATTACATTTATGGATACATTTGAGAGAAATGACATATTTTAGATATTAAGACTTCCCATCCAAGAACACGATACAGGTCTTTACATATTTAAGTATCCTTTTATGTATATGTATAGCTATAATGGGTTCATGCAACTTTTGTTAGATTTATTCCTTATAAGAATTGTATGATTTTCTTTTTTTTTTTTTGAGTTAGAGTCTCACTCTGTCGCCCAGACTGGAGTGCAGTGGCCACTCCTGGCCACCGCAGCCTTGACCTGCTGGGCTCTGGCGATCCTTCTGCCTCAGCCTTCCATGATTTTCTTGCTATTCTAAATGGTACATTAAAAAATTTTAACTCTCTGCTTTTGGCTGGTATACAGAAAGGCAGCTGATTTTTGTATACTGATCTTATATCCAGCAACCTTGAGGAACTCTCAGTGAGTTTTCTTCCTGATGACCCACTCTCCCCTACATTACGGAGCTGACTGGGAACTCTAGGGTGTGAAAACCGTCAGGTGTCATTCAGAATGTGAGTTGGGAAGAAGGCAAACAGGTGGGTCACCCCATCCCCTCTTGATCTGGCAGTGATAAAAAGTGGAGGGCTCTTTTCTGAAATGGTGTCCATCCTAGTGGGGAGCTCCTGTCTCTCTGAGGTGAAATGCTCAGCTCTACAGACTATTGTTGGTCTTCAGTCTGGGAGCAGGCCCCTTCTAAGCCTTCGAGTTTTCACCTGCTACCTCTTCACTGATTATCCTATTTAAAGCACCTGACAACCCTCACCTGTGTCTGCCCTTATTCCTTGCAGAATCCTGCTCATACCCTTTATAGCACGCTTTATGGGCTTGTCTGATGGCTAATGTTCCTGTTTACTGTCTGTCCTTCTCATCCACTGCAAGTTTCAGAGGACAGGGGCCAGATCTGTTTTCTTTACTTCTATATTCTTGGTACCTGCCATTTAGTTCAACAAATATTTGTAGACTGAATAAATGGGTTAAATGTCAGACATGTTTCCATCTTCAACATTTATAATCCACGTGTCTCACCATTTAAAATATATCTTATGTAATCTTAATTTATATCCCCATAACTGCTTTTTAAAGTAGTCATTTCTAGTCCCCATTTGATAAATAAGACAAATCAAGTCACATGGTCCAAATCAATAGCTGGAGATCAGTAGGGTTGAAAACATCTAAGCCAAAGTCTAATTTAAAAGCCACATGACAGAAGAAAAACAGAGAGAAAGGAAGAGGAAGGGATGGGGACGAGAAAGGTGAGAGGAAGGACGGAAGGAGACAGGAACAGAAAATGCATTTGAGAACTTTCCATGTTAAGGGCACGTCACATCACTTATCCTGCTGCGAACTCCTTAAATCTCATGTTTTTCCCATATGAGAAAATGTCTCGTACCTCCCCAGACACTTCAGGGCAGCAAACAGACAGGGAACGTTCAACAACACTCTTATCTATGAGTCACACAGCACAGGAGGTCAAGGAGTCTGCAGTGATGGAACCAATCTCTTTTCCTCTGCGTGAAACTGGCTGGTCAATCCAGGCCGCCTACTCAAGTCTGATAACTGCAAGGGGTACTTATAGCATGATTTAAGCTTCAAGTTCCAGTTCTTTCTCTCATAATTCCTCTGCCTTAGTCAACATTACCCAAAGCTTTGGCTCGCTTAACATTTAAAAGCCACTGGAGAATATCTTGCCAGATTTACTTACTGCAGGTGTGCGTGTAGAAGTACTTTCTTTCTCTTCGAATCATAATTTAAAGACAGGATATTGTTCTCAACCTTCCATGTGAGTCAGTGAGACTACCTGCCCCCTTCCTTTTCCTGGTCTCTAGAGCTAGTGATGAAACAGACAGTCATCTCTATTCATTCTGGTGCGCTGGCTTCACCTTGTGAAGGGACAAGGAGCGGAATGTCCCACTCTTGCCAGTCTCCGTGAAGTCAAAGAAAAGGCACCAGTAGGGCAGTTTGTCCCCTCTGAACCCCAGGCTGTAATGTGGTCCCCAGTGCTGAAGGTGGCGCCTGGTGGGAGGTGGTTGGGTCTCGGGGGCGGGTCCCGCATCACCTCACAGCTGGTTGCTTATTTCATTTCATTTTATTTTTGGGAGAAGTAAGGAGTTTTATTCTGACACCATGGGATCAGAAAACAAGCTGTGTACACACCAAAAACCTGTTCATTTAAGCAAGTGTTTCCATCCAGTGTTTATAAGAAAACATAGCCTCTTATCTTTTTTCCCACTGTTGATTAATCATGACTGCATATCTTATGACCATTACTCAGTTTCGTTCTTAATCAGTGTTTAGACCCCAAATAGTTTCTGTCACAAACCAGTTCTCAGATGACATCAAGCGTGCCATTTTTCTAAGTTACAATTACCGTGAACAATTTGGGTACAGCTGGTTGTTTCAGAGAGCCTGGCACCTGCTCTCTCCTGCCTCTGCTCTCGCCATGTGACACACCTGCTCCCTCTCCACCTTCCACCATGACTAGAAACTTCCTGAGGCCTCACCAGAAGCAGACGCCGGCGCCATGCAGAACCATGAACCAAATACAACTTTTTCTTTGCAAATTACCCAGCTCAGGCATTCCTTTTTAGTCACACAAAACAGACTCAGGGACAATCCTGAGTGTTTCTGTAAAGATACTTTGCCTCCAAAGGTAATCCGTACAGAGGAGCTAAATGCTAGGGGAAACACTCAGATGCAATGAGATTTCACTCCAGAGCCTGTCCACCGAGGACTCGACATAGCTGAGATGTACTCACTCCTCAGGGCTTCCTGAGCTCAAGCAGAGTAAAATGACACGGCACTGGCAAAATTCAGTCTGCTACAGGCGGGCCTGACATCACATACTTAATCCCAAGTGGCTTATCGGGGACAGACAGGGACCCGTCCTGGAGCTTGAAGACCACGCCCGCAGGACTTGACGTACCCATGACGGAGACGTCGTATTCGATCAGCAGCGTCGCTTCTTGTCCGCACTGTTTGAGAATGCTCATGGCTTCAGCATGCGTGGTTCCGAGAAGCCGGATGCCATCCACGCTGAGCAGCCTGTCGCCGGGCTTGATGGTGCCCTCTCTGAAGGGGGAAAAGAGGGACAGACTGTATGCCCTTGGCAGAGTGGGGCTTGGCAGTGGCAGTTCCCCACCCCAAGCCACTCTTCCACACACACTCTGTCCCACCCCCTCTGTCTTCTCATGAAGCATTGAGTGTGTAGCAGGTCTGTCAAGGTAGCCCTGGGCAGAAGTTCACTGTAATGTGAAAGCCAGTAGTGAGAAAATAACCACACCTTAGCAGATGACCTGAATGGCTAAGTCTTGGAGTACAAAAGTGAGAACGGCACTTTTTCCCTTTTCTAGGCTTTTGCCTGCATGTCTAAAATTGGTTTATTGGAACCCAGAAAATAGCATTTACCTATTTTCCCAAAGTCAGGTGAGCAGAAAAGCCTGCTAATTCCATTCAATTTATTACCAGTGAGTACGAGCGGGACAGAGACTGCCAGTGAGAAAAGTCCCTGGTCTGTAAATTCCCCTACTGATTTAGGTGGCCATTTGGCAACTGTTACGTTGACTCAGTCTCACATCCCCTGGAAGAGGCACCCACCTGCTTGCTTTCCCTGCCGTGACCACAGACACTCGACACAGACTCAGGACGTTCGTGACACCACGAAAGGAATGCCAGGGCGGTTCCCAGGTTCCACCCCCTGCCTCAGTGGGGGCATGGAGGTGAGAAAGCCCAATGGCGGGAACAGAGAGTTAGGATTTGCAAAGAATAAAAATGACCACTTCTACACACACCTTTCACCTAGGTAACTCTGCGTATTTTGACTCTCAGTTCCATCTTAAATTCTCAGAGTTCCTTGAGTCCTAAATGGATTCAGTCATGCGGGCACGCCACCTCAGGCTTGTGACCTATTTTTGTTGACTCCTGTCAACTCTGACTTTGAATGTTAGGAAGAAGTGAAAACATTCAGAGTGGCTTCAGGAAGAATAATTCATGAGAGGAGTGTGAGAACAAAAAAGGCAACGCTCCTGACTTAGCGTTACCCTTGGCAAAGGCCAGTCTACTTCAGCACAGGCAAAGAACCACTGTTCCCTATTTTCTTACTTTCTGGAAAGCGTCATCTTTCTTAAAAGCGAGCTGAAAGTATGAGTGGGGAAGGAAAGGAAGCCTGAATTCCTCCCCTAGCTCTTCCCCTTACTTGTTGGCAAGTCACTGAAACATGGGTCCCAGTTCTGTCATCTGCAGACGTGGCTAAAATGCCTCGTGGAGAGGGGGTGGGAAGGAGAAAATAAAACAATGTCTGCCAAGCATGTGGAGCGGTTCCTGGCACAGAGTGAGTGCTTGATCAACAGTGGTCATTGCTACACTTCCTGTCCCTTAACAAGGGCTGTAAAGTAGGGCCTGGCCTGAAACAGACACGGGAGTCATCAGGCAGCTCCCTCCTTCTGTCAGCCACATCTGATGTCAGCAGTTGTGCCCCATCGTCACAAAGCTGACTTTTGCTGTGGGAAAGGGAAACAGAGATGGCTATCTCCAGAGACACCAAGGATGTGGGCTTACTTGGGACCCCACAAGGCTTGTGATAGGAAAACGGAAAGCATCCGCCCTTCCCATGTGCAAATTAGCAAGACAGAAAAAACTCTAAAGACTGACCAAATTCCTTCCATTTTACTAAAAGTCACTTCCATACTATGTGGTTCCCATCAAAATGCATCACTAACGATGATAATGAGATTGATCCGGTCAGGTACAGTGGTTTACACTTGTAATCTCAGCACTTTGGCAGGCTGAAGCAAGAGAATCACTTGAGCCAGGAGTTCAAGACCAGCCTGGGCAACATAGTAAAACTTCGTCTCTACAAAAAATACAAACAAAAAATTAGCCAGGCATGGTGGCATACACCTGTAGTCTCAGCTACTTGGGAGGCTGTGGCAGAAGGATTGCCTGAGCCCAGGAGGTTGAGGTTGCAGTGAGTCATGATCATGCCACTGTACTCTAGCCTGGGCAACAGAGTAAGACCCCAACTAAAAAAAAAAAAAAAAAAAAAAAAAAAAAAAAGAAGAAGAAGAAAAGAAACCAGCCCAACTTCCCCCATAGAACTAATGATTACAGTTTTGGGATTTTTTTGCTTGTTTGTTTTTAAGTACACAGATATTGACTCTCCTGGTCTTAAAGCTTGAAACTTACTTTATTTTATCTGAGTTCCTTTCTCAGGAAACCAGCCCTCAGGCCTGCATTATCAAGGAACTGAAACTCACCAGATCACCACACCCAGACAATGAGATGCCAGACCCTTCCCCAATTCCTGCTCACCAGCTCTTCCTCCTCACCTCTCCCTAGCTCCTGTTTTCTACATTCCTTCCCTGGTACATAAATCCCTGACTTTAGCTGGGCAGGGAAATGGGTTTGAGACTGAGTCTCCCTTTGTCTTGGCTGAAATCACCCAAATAAGAAGTCTTCTTCCCTGGCAATACTTGTCACAGTGATTGACTTTCTGAACAGCAACAGCACCACAACCAAACTCGTGGCATTTCAGTAACAATAAGATGCTGATAATGGCGAGAATCTCAACATCATCACTGCCTAACTTTCCAGGTCAGGAGATTAGCACCTGGAGAGGATGCATGCATGTCAAGCATCTGCCCTAGAAGAGCCAGCTGTGTTCTCCAAGGGCCTCCCCTGCCAAGTTCCTCCCATCTGTAATAAAACTGGATGACCCTGCAAGGCAGGCGTTATCACCTCCATTTACAACGGAAGACATGGAGCTTAGAACTAAGTCCCTGGCAAAGGTAGAGTGTAGTATGTGCAGAATCCAGAGGCAAATCCCGTTTTTTGATTTCACAGCCCAAATTCCATCTTCATATTTGAACATATTTATTTAATATCGATCTCTGACTATGAAACTTGTAACCTACATCAACGTCTATGACCAAGTCCTCAGCTTGACTTATTCTATTTTGGATAGCAACACAGAAAGATCAAGCTTACCTGTCAGCTGGCCCTCCGGGACGGACACATGTTATCACAACTGGACGAGATTTATTTCTGTCATCATGCGCTCCCCCTAGCAAAGACAAGAAATACAGCGTAAAGATGCTTTCACTGTTGCCGTTTAAAAAGTTCACTTACAAAATGTCAGCTGAGAAATGCCATGCTTAGTGTATGGAAGAAAATAGGCAAATTTCCTCGAGGCATGTAGTGGACTTAAAGGTTTCATTCATTTGATGTAGAATACATTTTGAAGGTCACCATTTATCTACCTTTCAATAAATGTATGGCTATAACCGGGTAATCCATAAAATAGTTAACAACTGGTCTGGAAGAGGCTCAACTGATTACAACAAGCACTGGCCCAGTTCAAACAGCTGCCAGTAATCAACAAAGCCCAGGTGTGTACACCTGGTGCTAACAGGGTGGGTCCGGTCTACAACCTGATATCAAGGAAGAGAAAACAAAAGCAAAAGGAAAATTCAAAGTATTAAAATAAGAAAGATGGCCAGGCATGGTGCCTCATACCTATAATCCCAGCACTGGCTTGAGCCCAGGAGTTTGAGATGAGCCTGGGCAACATAGTCAGACCTTGTCTCTATGAAAAACTTAAAAAATTAGCTGGGCATGGTGGTGCGTGCCTGAGTCCCACCAGGAAGGATTGCCTGAGCTCAAAAGATCAAGGTTGCCGTGAACCGTGATTGTGTCACTGCACTCCAGCTTGAGAGACAGAGTGAGACCCAAACTCAAAAAAGACAAAAAGAAAAGGAAAAAATTTAAGTGACCAATTGTCCCCCCTTAAAACTGGGCTCTAGCCGGGCTTGGTGGCTCAGCCTGTAATCCCGCGCCTCTGGGAGGCTGAGGTGAGTGGATTGCCTGAGCCCACAGGTTCGAGACCCGCCTGGGCAGCGAGACCTCATCTCTACAATAAATAAAAAAATCAGCCAGGCATGGTAGCGCATGCCTGTAATTCCAGCTACTTGGAAGGCTGAGGCGGAAGGATCGCCGAAGCCCAGCAGGCAAGGCTGCGGTGGCCGGGAGTGGCCACTGCACTCCAGTCTGGGCGACAGAGTGAGACTCCAACTCAAAAAAAAACCAAAACTGGGCTCTTCAAAAAAGTGGGGGCAAATTTGGCAGGCTGAGTCAAGCCAAGTGCAATCCTTCATTGAGGTTCTTAATGTTCTCTAAGAAAATATTCTCCACAAGAATTCTTAGAACACAGATGAGCCTAGGCAACGTAGCCAGGCTCAAAAACACAGATGCTTCAAGATGGAAGGTCATTCATTGTCAATTCTATCTTTAATGCAAGACCCCAGTGCATAGCTTCCTTTTTCTGTGCTCCCCCAGCCTCTGCATGAGACCCACCAGTAGTGGCCTTCTGACTAGGCTTGAGGCCATTTGCTCCACATTTGGACACTAGGGTGTTTGACAATTATTCCTAATATTTAACTGATATCTATTGTCCTTCACCTTCCATCCACTGGTCCTTATTCCATCAGCTGTAACAGTAACACAAAAACATCTGCTCTCTTTGACAGAAATGTTTTTTCTAAAAGTTGCAAACAGATTATACACCTGCTAAGTCCTATCTTCCCAAGGCTGGATACATTTCTGTTTCCTTAACCCTCCTTCATGTGACCTGATTTCCTGTGCACCAACATCCTGGCCACCCTTCTGGGTGCTTTCTAGTTGGCCAATATCTGATAAATATTGAATGTTATCAGTAATTATTACTTCGTTAATGTTTGCCTGGCGGAAAAGACAGACATGTCTCAAAACTCAGCACAGGTAGAGAGGCTTAACTTAAATAATCTACGAGAAAAATGAAGAGGCATTCGTGGTTTCTGATGAAGGCAAGTGCTTCCTTGGTAATCAACTCTATTACAAGGGACTTATTCAGACTGGCTGATTGGTAAAAGCTCCAATTCAGTGTTTTATTGTTTCGATCAGTCTGATGGTTTCTTTAAAAATTCTCCTTTACTTAAAATTGCAAATACACTACATTCTCAGAGAAGAAATTTAAAATGAAAGTCATGACCATAAGTTATATCAAATGCTCACCCCTATCAATGTAAATACTCATATGTAATTTCTCTTTTGCAAGTGACCATAAAAGACAGGTATGCCTTTCCCTAAAGAGGCACTGATTTGGAAAAGGTTGGGGCCAACGGCAGCAAGAAACCTTTCCGTAATTTTGGCTCAAATTTAAATATGTAACACTGGCTGTATGTTAAAGTGAGAGATTGTTCTACATTTCTTGGTATGTGGCATTTTATCATTATTTGTAATGAACCAAGTTTCCTGTCCAACTCACTTTGGTTCTAGGAGTTTGGAACAGCAAAGCAGAACACTCAGAGACCAGTGACATCCTCAATGCTGACTGCCCGTGATTATCCCCGTAATGTGTCCTGAAAATATTCATGCCAGGGCCACAGTCAGACCAAATCTGAATACCAGGCAGCGTGTGTTCAATGAGGTGATCTGCCTGCAGTTTTACTGTTGAAGATGACCAGACAGGGCAGGTTTCCTTGTCCGAGGGAAAAGCAACTTAGTGGCTAAATGCTTTTCCTGTCAGCCCATCCTATCCCCTTTGGTTTTGTGGTAAGAAAATAACTGAAGTTTAACTCTCCTGGGTTTAGGCCAAAACATCGTCTTTCGTTCTGTGGGTGCTGTTGTTTGGGGAAGAAAGGTTTCAGAACCCGTGACATGTGGCATTAAAAACATAATTCCATTCACCCACCTAAAGCTACGTGTTCCAAGTTCCAGCTGGTACTGAATGGATGTGTCCCCTCTGCCCTGGCTCCCTGGTTCCTGAATGTTGCTGTCTGTATCGTCTGTTGATCTAGGTTTAGCTCACATCCCAGCTAGGCCACCACGTCTTCTCTGCCATGCCCATGCTTACCCATTGCAATTAGCTAGTGATCTCAAGGGATGGCTGGTGACCACCTTGTGAACCGGGAAAGGCCTTCAACTGGGCCGCAAACTGACCTAAGCATATACATCTTGTATTTGATTCTCATGGAGAAGTCATGCGAAATTCCAAAATCTTTTTTGTTCAATTAATGTATTAAGGGAGTTGTGAACGCCTAGAAAAGTCTGGTGCTTATAGACTAAAATTGGTTAGTTATAACTAAGGTTTTTAAAATCAGTATAATATAAAGATATCTGATGCCCACACAGATCTAAGCGACATTCAGTCACTCATTCATTCTTTCATTTATTAAGTGCCTCCCATACACCAGGCAGGATTCTAGGCTCATATAAAACTCCTGGACATGCACACAGATATTTGGAATTCCTGCAAATTGTGGAAAGGGTGTTTTGTTCACATTACATGATTCGTGGTCTTGAGGCAGTTGTGAATTTCAATTGCATCTATTCTTTTATTCCTTAGTGATAAATTACTATTGGTTTAAGCTCTTTCATTAGCAATTTGATTTGTTATTGATTAACCATACAGTAACTAGTGATGAGTATCTGTAGCAGCAAGTTTTTGCTACAGATTTTTAATAATTAGGCTTGTATGCACATGATTCAAGAAACCTTCTTTTTCTACGTATATTGCAAAAACAGATTTGTTTATACCACCCTTCAACCTCAAATTGCTTGTACAGTGACTTTGCATTATATTCACCTAGTTACTTTAATCAGAAATTTGGGACCGGTTAGGGCCATGACCTTGGGGTCAGCAGCTCCGCCTGAAAAATGTAATAACTGCTAGTCCAAAGTGCTCTGCGAGTGCCCAGCCCTGCCCTCTCATTTCTCCCTCAAGCACTTGATCAACTCACGTCTTGAATTCACTGGACTACCATTTCCTGTAGACGAGGTCTTGTCTTATGACCCCAAAGCACTGTCCCTCCGCTGACATGCTGACATGAGCTTAATAAACGTGCAATTGATTGGTGTGCCGCATGACTGACGGAGTGAAACCTGATGTGTAAAGCTCAGCCATGTAAGCCGGGCCTGCAGCAGGATGCACATCTGTTTTTTACTCTTTGGCGCATGTGTGTTTAAGAAGTTTCATTTTAACACTTTAGTTTTCATAATTTTGATAGAATTTTGGCGAAGCACAACATGTTAAAGATGAAAACAAAAACATCAAGAAATGAATGCAAACTTTTAAAACATGTCTGACGCTTATCCAGGTTCCCACTGACGCTCACTGTCATACAGGGGTTGAGAGTCACTAATGCAGGCACCGCCTTTAGGGGATAAAGTTGTTAACAAGAAAAACAAAACAATAAAAGTTAGAATTCCACCTCTGAATTCATGGCTCAACAGACGAGTTGGAGTCGCCGGAGCTCTTTATTCTCAGTGTCACACTGTCCTATGAGGAGCTGAGCTGAAGCACACAGGCGCCCAAGAGATTAGATGATCTTCAATCCAATTTTAGAAGGCTGTGGTTACAAAATGTATCTCGGGAGAAATTTATTCTTACACGAAGTTGCTAAATCCTCATACATTAAATCAAATCAAGTCATTCTCATCAAAATGTTTGATTCAATGATACAGAAAAGTAGAAAAGGGAAAAGTATAAAAAGTCAAACGCCGTGTTGTAAAGTGACAGGTCAGTCGGACACCTGCACTGATGAGGTTTACCGACAGTTTCCTGCTCTGTGCTACTGAACAAACAGTGTTATTCGTCAGCCGGATTCTGCTTAATTCCCATTCACAGTTTTATTTATTTAAAGAAGAGTCGGTGCAAATATTAACAGGTGGCTTTACACCGTGGAGACATCGATTTCTTGAGCACGCCTTTCTCGCTCACTCCTAATATCTCACAGAAAAATCATCCAAGAGTCTCTGACGGTTTGTATCTTCTAACCACACCTACCTCGTATGACAAAACCAAAGGTGTTGCCTTCTTTATGCAACGTGACCTCCACTGTCCGGAAAATAACGCTCGATCCTTGTACAGCTGATACGGGAGAGAGAGAAGGAAACACAAGTTTTAAGTCACAACAACACTACGAAATTTTTCAGTGTGGCCTAAAACACTGCAGGTCCTTGTTGCAAGTAGTTTGTTCTGAGTAACAAGAAAGCAACAATCTCCTTTCAAAGAAAACATTAGAAAAAACTCATTGTAACGGCATAACAAATACCATCAGACAGTCATCTGCATGAGTGACACATGTAGGTCCACCTGGAAGTAAATCATGGCTCAGCTTTTTTCCTTCTGTATAGCCAGTTTCTAGAGAGAAGGTGAAGAATGTATGCTGTTTATTTAAACTGCACATGACCAGAGAGATAGTGTTTATTGGATAAGTAGAATTACTTTTTCTGTTTTACAGAAAATATTTAGGATTATTCTTCCTTGGCAAAATGAAAAACCAATGTGATTTTTGTAAAAAAAATTACATAAGATGACTTATTTATTTTTATTTTTGCAGCTGGCACACAAAGTATTGTTCTCAGATTGCTACCAATAATTAGGCTGATGCTAATAGATGTTCTGACACAGAAACATATGGGAAACGTAGAGATTAAACAAAGACATCAGCAATCCCCATGAAACTTGGAGGGCAAATGAAAGTCAAGGTACATTCAGAATATTACTGCAAACTAAGAAAATTAAGAGTAACTTAATTTTACTTGATACATCATTCTTCTGTCGTGGTTGCCTGATTATTGCTATGATTTCACAAAAGAAACTGCACATGTGAGGTTATGAGGTGTGGGAAGGTGTAGTCACTACAATAGTCTGTAAGATTCCTTTGGAGAACCTGTGAGTGATTCTGGTTGAATTGTATACCATTTCTGCATTGAAGAAAACATTTCCACAAATTGATATTTTATCATTATGATTACAGAGATGCTTTTATTCATGAAGACAGAAAAACCTGCAATGATGTATAGAAGTAGACAGTTTGAGATCCTTATTTTGAATTTGTACATTGGTATCGAATTATCGAATGCTGTGTCCATTGTCATAACACATTTTTTACATTGTTACCAGATCCTGAAGGGCTTATTATATAAAACTATCAACAAGCAACCTATTTATAGGCAGAATTTAAAGGGGTCTTTTAGAAAAACGTCTCTTGCCATTTATAGAACTAGCAAGTAGTTTTAACTAGTCATTAATTATGATTATTTTTAATGATCAGATATTCTGAATCCTCAAGGGAACAGATATGATTATGAAAAGTACACATTTAAATTCATAAAACGGCACACTATTCGGCTGGGACATGAAGTCCAATAAAAATTTGAATCTGCTGGAAAACAACATAAACCTACAGCTGAACAAATGTTTTGGTATACTGCTGATTTAATTAAATGTCATATTCTTGCTACCAGGGGAATTTCAGCTTATTCTAATCAACTAGAAACAGTGCACGCAAACAGCTAAAAGTGGTGAGATACAGTTTTAATTAAATGAAAAAAAATTGGTTCATACCAAATCTTCTCTTATTTCCATGACCCCACAAGCCACTTGAAGAAATTGATTAGAAATACGATCTTTTGTGTTCTTTTGGTAAGCGAGGAGAGGAGAGGATGGAGAGAAATAATTAATGAGCATATCCTGTGTGTCCAGAACTCTGCAAAGCGGTTTACAAATATTATTTTGTTGAATCATTAAATTAACTTCAGATTATATACAGCCAATTCTCATTCTGGGCCACCTGTCATTGTTGGCTGACGTCTGTCACAGGATTGCAAAGTCTGCCATTTTAATTTCACTTTAGCTCAATCTAGCCGACTACTAAATCTCGCAATCGAAACTGAAAGTCGATATAAAGATTTTGGATTCTTTGCAGCTTCAGATTATGCCCCTGTTGCTCTCTATCACTTACCAAGATGATGTGAGCGTTGACTGCATTTCAATATCATGAGATACACTGGTCTTTCTAGTTGTCACTTGCTTGGCTGGCTGTGGGTGGCTGGGTTTTCATGCTCAGCACCGGCCACCCTGTGCCGCCATATACATTGTACTCACTACTTCCCATGTGAGTTGTGTACACACAAAGATCTAGTAAAAACTCACCCGGAGGATCAAGGGCATGGGAGAAAACAATTTCACAGGGCAAGACATTCTCTCCTCAGTGTCTGAGCTGTGCTGCTGTCCTTTGTTTCTAGACGTGAATATGCATTTACTTCCGCAGTTACTTTGCCCCGGTGGCTTAGATCCTTCAAGAGGATGTCCTCCTCACCTGCCCTCCCACTCACGCCTGGTGGGAGGAGGGGCGCTGTGAGCCCTCCCTACTCTACATGCTGCCCGTGCCCAGGTGACTTGCCCAGCTGACATCCCGTGGGAGGTTGAGAGATGCAGCAGGCCGGCTCGGTGGCTCAGCCTGTCATCCCGCGCTTTGGGAGGCTGAGGGGAGGGGATTGCCTGGGCCCGCGGGTTTGAGGCCCGCCTGGGCAACTTGGTGAGACCTCATCTCTACAACAAATCAAAAAAATGAGCCGGGTGTGGTAGTGCACGCCTGTAGTTCCGGCTACTTGGAAGGATGAGGCGGAAGGGTCGCCGGAGCCCAGCAAGTCAAGGCTGCCAGTCTGGGCGACAGAGTGAGACTCCAACTCAAAAAAAAAAAAAAGAGATGCAGCAGAGCTGGAAATGCGCATCGCTGGCTGGCTGGGCCTGTCTTCGGTTCCCTCTGACATTGCCGCAGAAGAGCTTCAAGGGGCAGCTGCTGCTCCTTCAGGAGGAAGCCAAGAAGGAGGCACACGGAGGAGGCTGGGACTGGTGCACTCTCTCTCCCTCATCACCGTCACCAGCACCATCACTATCACCACCGTCACCGTCACCACCATCACCACCATCTTCGCCACCATCATTACGTCCACCATCGCTGCCACCGGCACCACCACCACCATCATCAACACACCACTACCGTGTCTGTTTTGAGTTGAGAAGTAAGAAGCCTGTCCCAGGGACGTGCTTTCACACATTTATTTGAGTTTAAAAATGACTCCTTTAGGTAGAAAGCTAGTCTCAGTTAGCTGATGGATTAACAGTGAAGACTGCCTTATTTTTTTTTTTTTTAAGATAGGGTCTCGCTCTATCGCCCAGGCAGGAATGCAGTGGCAGGTTAATAGCGCACCGCAGGGCAGGCATTTTTTAATTAAATGAGGCAAATCTGTAGCTCCAAGGTTTGAACGCAAGCAGAATTTAAAGACATATCAAATGAACAACATGCCAGAAGTCGTGTCCTTTCCAACTCTTTAAGCTGATGCTGAAGAAGTGTAGGTACTATCTAAAAATGGATCACAATTATTTAACATCTCAAAATTCTTTAGGGGTTATGGGGCCAAACTTTGAAGGCACCACTCTAGACCCACTTTTAATATCTAAATATCTAAGGCACACATTGGTAACGTTCTCTCTAAACACAATCTCAAGGCATCACGGTTTTAAAGTCAAAAAGAACTGTAGTGCTCCTGTAGACCACTCGTTTCACTTTTGTAAAGAATCTGAGGCCAGGCATGGTGGCTCACCCCTGTAATCCCAGCACTTTGGGAGGTCAAAGTGGGAGGATGGCTTGAGCGCAGGAGCTCGAGACTTGCCCAGGCAACATAGCAAGACCTCATCTCTAAAAACATTAAAATTATAAATTTAAAATTAAAGAAAGAAACCCAATCTCAGAAAAGATAAGTGGCTTGCCCAAGATCAAACTTCTATTTTTCTTCTATCAGATCCCAGGTGTGCACACATACACACGCACACACAGGCACACACGCAACCCTTCCTCCAGTTCTCTCTGAACTCCGGGGTGGTCTGGTCTCAGATTACTGCCGTCCTGGCGAGCCTCTGGTCGTGGCCTCAGCAGCTGGTCCTTCAGTGGCCGGCTCCCTCCGCTTGCTTCTGCTCCAGTAGTTTGGGTAGTGAAGGGCAAGCGTCTTCGTCCCTTCAGACTCTCTGGACGCCAAGCTCACATTAATATCTTCAAGCATAATAGAGAGGCCGAGACCACCCTTGGAGAACAGACCTCTTCTATCCGATTTCTGCCTGGAGAGTCTTGCTTTGTGTGTGAACACATCTGCCCTGGTCCATCAGCTTTGTCGAGTGAGGACGAGGCTGGTGCTGTGTCTTCACCACACCGCGACAGGTGTCAGTGCCCGAGCATTTCTGACACCCATCTCCTCTAACTCTGAGAATACCGTATTTATTCAGGCTGTTGCCTCTCTTCTGGAAAATGCTAAGAGCTTTCGGACTTGAAGCCTCTGGTCTATTCTCTGTGTGGCCTAAAATCTCAGCTCTGATGGGGTGTTCCCGGCGTTCAATACCTGCCAGTGCCCTGTGTCCAAGCTCCATCAACATGCCATGTCTGGCCTTGCTGGGTCCCTGTTCAGCTTTCTGGTCTCCCCCTCCCCCGGGCCTCACTGGGTCCCCTCTCGGCTCTCTGGCCTCACTCCTCCCTGCCCGGCCTCCTTGGGTTAAATCTATCTAGATCTCTGGCCTCACCCCTCCCCGCCTGGCCTCATCCCTCCCCAGACCCGGTCATTCTTCCCTCTATGCAGCTCCAGTCTGTAGATGAACCTGGCCCTGACCTTGTGTCCCCCTGCCCTGCTGTGTCCCTGCCTAGAATGTTCCTTGTCCTACTTGATGGGCTCTGCCGTCTTCAAGTCCCCCCGAGGCCTCCCACACTGAGTCACCCAGGACATGGGCACATCTTCACCACTGGCCTCCCCTGGAAGTGGTCCTGAGTTCTTTTTAGGAAGGAGCTGTGGCATTTCGACATCCACCTCCCTGGTGGAATAAACATGTTTCTGGCTCTAGGGATCTGGCTTCTCTCCCCTCCTGGCAGTGGCTTGAGAGTATGACTCCAGGTGACGCGACTCTTAAAGTCCAGGCACTTCCAGAGTAATAGGCAATAACAGTAGTCACAGCTAACGTGATTAGTTACTGAATCACGTTAAGTAGGCCGGGCTCGGTGGCTCAGCCCGTCATCCCAGCACGGGGAGGTCGAGGCGAAAGGATTGCTTGAGCCTGCGGGTTTGAGACCAGCCCAGGCAACTTGGCGAGACCTCGTCTCTACAATAAATAAAAAAACAGCCATGGTAGTGTGTGTCTGCAGTTCCAGCTACTTGGAAAGCTGAGGCAGAAGGATCGCTGGAGCCCAGCGGGTCGACGCTGGGGTGGCCGTGAGCGTGCCACTGCACTCCAGCCTGGGCAAGGGAGACTCCAATTCAAATAATAATAATAATGTTAAGTAATATCTTAATATCCCAAGTATGTGATCTCGGTCTATCTCACGATGACTTGAGGACAGCGTTGAATCAGCACCGAAGCCCTTCTCCTGCTACAGCCATTTTACAGGTCAGAAGCCGGAGGCTCAGAGAACGTAAATAACACGTCCACAGTCACAAAGCTGCCATTTAACTAGTGACACAGCCTATTTTACTGCCTACCCTTGCTGAGCATGAAAACATGTGGCGAGGTTTTAGAACACGGTCCTAAACTGATTTTGTTATGAACTGACTACCAGATTTTCTGCTGCTGATTTTCTGCTAAGAGGAAGAACTTGCGACCGGTCACGTGCCAGCGCCCTGAGTGCCCCAACCTGGTCCCCAGACTTCAGACACCCTCAGTGTGCCCAGTGCTCGCCAATGCCTATTTCCAGGTCAGCTCTCTCTCCCAAACTCCAGACCACAACTGCAGCTCCCGACATTTCCTCTCACAGGCCACAGGCACCGCCGAGGTGGCATTTCAGACAACGAGCTTCTGATCTTACCCCACCAATCAGCTCTACCCATGCTCTTACCCACCCATGTGGACGGATGCTCCATCCTTCCAGTCGCTCAGGCTCAAATTCTTGGGTGCATCCTGGACAGCACAAGCCACGGCAAGTCCACGAGGAAATCCCGTTGGTGCTGCCTTCAAAACAGATCCAGAATCTGACTGCTTTCACGGCCTCCATTGCCATCTTGCTTGGACCACTGCAGTAGCCTCTGCAGTCTACACTCAACACGGTAGCCAGAGAACCTCCAAGAACACCAGTCTTGGAGGCTCCTCTGCTCCAGATCATTCAGCTGCCTCCTGTGTCTTTCAGAGCAAAACTGAAGGATTCCCCCGCCGGCCTACAAGGACATTCCACCCTCTTTCATTTCTGACCTCGTCTCTGAAACCTCTTCTGGTTCATTCTGCTACGGTCCCACTTCCATGTGTTTATGGAACAACCCCAGGTACATACCTGCCTTTTGGTCTCAGCACTGGCTGTTCCTTCTTCCTGGAACTCTCTTCCCCCAGAAACCTGTACGGCCAACTGCCTTGCCTCCTCCAATTTGCTGGCCGGTACTCCCTTCTCATGAAGTTGTCCTAACCCTGCCCTTGGTTTAAAATCGCAATCCCACCCCAGCCCCGGCATCCCTAGCCGTCTCCTCATTCTGCCTCCCTTTGCCCTGCATTCGTGACCCCTGCCATACAATTCACTTATTGATATACTTTTACTTTATCTGCCTTCTCCTGCGAGAAGGTGAACTCCGCACCTTCAAACTTCTGGTCCACAGTGGTGGCTGGAACACAGAAGTGCTCAGCAAGGCCATGACGAACAGATGGATTCTACCAACTCTTCACACTCAGTCTAGGTGCTCTCACTGGCAGGGAGGAGCACAGCGCATCCCTGGGGCACACCCATGTCAACAACCAACAGTAGGAGAGGGTGCTGGGACAGCTCGGCTGGAGGAGGGCAGAGCCCTGCACCCGCACCCCCACGACCATGCACGAGCGCTCCAGAGCCAGGCAGCCCGGGTTCACATGCTGACTTTGCAGCCACTAATCTGGGGAAGACACTTAGCTCAAGTCTCTGTAAAATGAGAAAACTTGTGGTAATCATGCCCACCTTGCAGTGCTGATGGATTCCTTACTGATCAAAACCTTTTAGAGAGCCGGCACCATTCCAAATGTTGTACGAATACTCAGTTAATACTCGTAACTAATCAATGAGTAGGAACTAATATGAATCCCATTTCTCAGGTGTGAGAACTGAGACCCAGAGAGGTTAAGTGACTTTCTGAAAGGCATGAGGCCAGTAGAAGGCGGAGCTGGGATATGAACCTGGCTATCTGACACTAAAGTTTGTCTGAGCTATGCTGATTCTTCTCACGGTGATGATTAAATAACTCAATGCAAGTCAAGTCCTTTACGAGACCGGACATTTGGTAAGAAATCAACACATGTTGCCGACTATTGTTACTTGATAATAGTGTGTTCTGAAGCCACTTTCATGCTGCAGACATACATACCTACACGAGTCATTAGAAAGCATGCTGAACTCACTTTCCTAAGCCAGTCGCTAAGTTCCAGCCTGCACAGGGGTGCCAAGTACCCATGACCTGGATGTGTCCCGACGGCTGATGGAAACAGCAGAGCGGCAAAGCCAGTGTGTGCAGACCCCTTCACAGAACACCGGCTCTATGTGACCTCACGGTCACCTGCACACTTTTTTTATTTTTTGAGTTGGAGTCTCACCCTGTCACCCAGGCTGGAGTGCAGTGGCACACTCACGGCCTCCCAGCGTCAACCCGCTGGGCTCCGGCGATCCTTCTGCCTCAGTCTTCCAAGGAGCTGGAACTACAGGCGCGCACTACCATGCCCAGCCAATTTTTGATTTATGGTAGAGATGAGGTCTTACCAAGTTGCCTGGGTGGGTCTCGAACCCACAGGCTCAGGCCATCCCCTCGCCTCGGCCTCCCAAAGTGCTGGGATATCAGGCTGAGCCACTGAGCCCGGCCCACCTGCGTGCTTTTGAATTCTCCCTGAGGAGGTACCATGTTTCTCAATGCAAACGATTCTTAAATGTCAAGAAGCTTGCTCTGGCATTCCTGTCACGAGACACTGCTGGCAAAAGGGAACGGTTAAGTTGCCGGTGGCTGTGGGAAAGAGGGGGTTCCACTGTTCTGGGCGGGGAAGATGACAGCAGTCCTCAGCAGATTCAGCTACCAGCGGTCAGCTGCAGGCTGAACATAGTAAGTGGAACATTCTAGAAACGAGCCTTCATAAGTGTTCACTCTCCTGCCGTGAGGAGCAGCGTGATGGACTCTCATGCCATCTGCTCCATCCTGCCCGGGACAGGAGTCACCCATGTTGGGCATACCCACATTGTCTACACGGCCTGCCCTGGCCACTTTGGAACTGTCTTCGGAACAACTGAATTGGCTGTTGCGGTCTTGCCGTGCTGTGGTCAAGGGACCCTTATTTGACCTCATAATGGCCCCAAAGTGCAAGAGTTGTGATGTTGGCACGTTCTTATAATTGTTCTATTTTAGGGATGTGTGTATGTATGTATTTTTTGAGTCAGGGTCTCACTCTGTCACCCAGGCTGGAGTACAGTCGCACGATCATGGCTAACCATAGTCTCAACCTCCTGGGCGCGGGAGATCTTCCCGCCTCAGCCTCTCGAGCAGCTAGGAGTACAGGCATGCACCACCATGCTTGTCTACTTATTTTTTTTGAGTTGGAGTCTCATTCTGTAGCCCAGATTGGAGTGCAGTGGCATGCTCCCAGCCACTGCAGCCTCGACCTGCTGGGCTCCAGTGATCCTTTTGCCTCAGCCTTCCAAGTAGCTGGAACTACAAGTATGCGCTACTACGCCCGGTTAATTTTTTATTTATTGTAGAGACAAGGTTTCACCAAGTTGTCCGGGGGTCTCAAACCCGTGGGCTCAGGCAATCCACTTGCCTCAGCCTCCCAAAGTGCTGGGATGACAGGCTGAGCCACCGAGCCCGGCCATGGCTACTTTTTAATATGTTTTTTCAGTTTTGTAGAGACCAGGTGTCACTATGTTGCCCAGGGTGGTCTCCAACTCCTGAGCCCAAGCAATCCTCCCGCCTTGGCCTCCCAAAATGCTGGGATTACAGGCGTGAGCCACCACGCTGGGGTAGATTTTCAAAATGAGTTATTGTTGCTCTCTTGCTGTGCCTGATTTATCAGTCAAGCCCCCCCATAGTCTGGATGTGAAGGAAACCCCCAGTGTGCTCGGGGCTCGGCCCCCGCTGTCCCAGGCGACCCGAGCCTGGGAGCGCGCCAGGGTGGAGGCTCTGGTACTCACAGACGGGCGGCAGCTCGTACTCCACCTCCAGCACCACCCGCTCTCCGACGTTCTTCAGCAGGCTGATGATCTCGTCGTGGCGGAACTTGGCTAGGTTGATGCCGTTCACTGCCTTGATGTAGTCGCCCACGTCCAGCTGGTCACTCCTGCAAGACAGGCCCTGGGGCTTCAGGGGGCTGTCTGGCTGCGTGCCCACCTCCCTTCCCGGGAGCCCCAGGCAAGTCTGGGAGGCCACACAGCAGAGTCCCTGCCCGGGAAGAGAGCCCCTGAGAGTGTCAGTGCCCCTGACCCTGTGACAAGCATGGACCCCTCCCCCACGCTGCTGGTGTGGCCCTGGAAATCCTGCCCTGGTCTGCCGCCAGCTCCCATTTGCTTCTGATCTTTTTCCTCTTTTATTTTCCAGAGCGTGATAACACAAGAGAACCCTCCTTTGTTAAAGCTGTTCTGCCCTCAAAGGGTAGCTCTCTGGGGTGGGACCCAGGCCCGGACATGCGGGTCTTCTTGCCCTGCTTGTTGGTGCTGCCTGCCTTCACATGTGTCTCAGCCTTCGAGAGCATCGCCGGGGTTTCCAGCCCTCAGGAAAAGGGCAGCTTCTTTGCGATGTGTGGCTGGAGCAGGACTGACACACAGAGGGCCAGGGAAGAAGAAACTAGGACACCATCACGCTCTGGGTTTCGCTGACATCCCCGTCCCTCCATCCTACCATGCAGACCATTGGCTGCTCTGGGGCCTGCAGCCAAGCCCTGCCTCTAGACCAGGGCAGACAGCAAGGAGTTCAGACTCGCATCACTCATGAGGACCTTCAGGGACCCTGCCACCCATCACAGAAGCAGCAAGGGCAGTGATGTGACGGGTGCCCAGTCTAGCCATTCCCTCTTCTAGAACCTTCCCAACCCGCTCAGCCCACAGGTATGCACCGCTCTCACCCTGGGTCCATGGGTGCTCGGGGGACACAGCCGTGTGCCCTGTGATCAACCCAGTGTGGGCGTTGTTTACTAGCCCATAGTGTCCTTGCTGTCCCCAACATTCAGGTTTCGATACCTTGTCTTCACAGAGAGATCACAAGCCCCTCCTGGGCTGGGATCTTATCTATTCTTAATTACTTAGTTTTGCTACCTGCAAAGGCGGCGGGCAGCGTCTCATACCATGCATGCTTGCTGATTTTTTTTAAAGTTTCCAAGCAGTTTATTTAGAAAGTAAATGAGAGAGAGAGACAGAAAGATAGGAGATTCACCTCCTCAAGGTAGGGGAGGGGGCCAAAGCTAAGAAAACATGGCAGCCATAGCTCAAAAAGCCACGTGGAGACACAGCATTTAACAAAGCAGTGGCCTGTGCTTGGCGATATTCGAACCCCAACATCCCTGGCACACAGCTACTTCTAGTTACAGCGTGAACACGCCAGCAACGCTGCTTGCCCCACCCACACTTGCTTCAAGGGGAGACTCGAAGCAGCTCTGGGGACAGCTGATGCTCTGGGCAGAACCAGGGGTCAGCCCACTGTTATTACACCCAAGGAGGCTTGGGCAGGAGAGATGTCCCTAAGAGCCAGAAAAACGGCCGAGGCCCGGTGCTCAGTTACAAGCAGGACTGGACACGGCTCACTCAGGCCAACACTGTCCATCCAATGCAGTCACAGGAGTCACCACTCCAGGTGACACTTTGCGAGGCCAGAGCTCTAAAACTCCACCTGGGATGATGTGGATGAGAAACTGGTGGCCAGGACTAGAGGCAAGTAAACCTCACTTTTCACCCGACAACCCGTCCTCTCCTTGCGAGGTAAAGGGTGAGTGTGCCTGCAGTGAGCCCACCCTGTCCCATACCTGAAGCAGCTCACCCACCCACCCCGTGCCTGGGCTGAGCCCACCCGGGACATCACCTTCACAGTGACTAGGACAGTTTATAGTTCGCGGACTAAAGGGAGGTCAGGCCTCCCCTGGAAGCCTCGCGTCTTGTAAACCCTGCAAGCAGAAACGCAGAGATGTGGGACAAACAGCTTGGACTCAGAAGCTTGGAGGTGAGTCCCTCCTCCCCCACCGTGAGGCGGACCGCCGTCCCCCACGGCTCCCCCCAAAAGAGGGGCCAGTCTCATGCTTGGGGATCGGGGAGTCTCCTTTCTGCCGCAGCAACTGCAGTTCAGCGGCGGCAACTCTGGGACGAGGTCCCTACAGGCGTTTTGGAATTAAAATCCAGCCTGGCAGCTCCTGAGGTGACACAGGACCCTCTGGGTGACCAGCACAGCCAGGAGCAAACATGGGCAGTCTGGAGAAGTGGATTTGGAAATGTGCCCGCGGTGCCAGGCTGTGCTGTAGTCAATGGTGGTGGTCACTTTCAGTGACCTTTTGGAAGGTGCCTTAATTTTCGAGTTCACGATCCCCCCATCCTGTCTCTGATCCCGAGGCAGTTACCTGGCTGCGATTCCTCCCTGCCGCAGGTTGGACACCCGGGGCCTGCCATCCTTGTCCACGCCGCCCGACACCGTGAGTCCGAGGGTCGTGCCCTCTTTCTTCATCAGCTCTACCACCGTGGAGCCCTTGAACTCCTCTGTAAGAGAAAAGCATGGCCTTAGGGACGCGGCGGTCTCCGCACAGCTGTGTGTGGCGTGGCCCCTCCCATAAGCCCCCCTTTTCTGTACAAGAACAGAGGCGGGCCCTTGCCTGCCATGGCCAGGATATCCCACGAGGAGGCACACAGGCGAGGCCGAGGCAGACAGCCCACGAGAGGCCCCCACAAGGGCCCCGGGGCCGTCACTTGAGGCAGGCAGCAGAGTGGGACTGTCTTGTGAACGACAGAAAACACGCGCCCAGTGTTCCCCGCCGTGCTCAAGCTACCCTCTCTGGCTTCTCTCTTTGTAACCCCGAAGGAAACAACTGAGACTTGCAAAGTGAAGTCCGAGCAGGATTTTAGATGATGGTACCGATGACAATGTCACAGTGCACTGCAGACTCCCAAGTTCAGTTCACAGGCATGCTGGCAGGCAGGGACGCCAGCTGAAAGCACAGGGGGCTGGTGCTCGGGCGCCCGGTTAACTGCCGGAAATCCCCCCTACTCACATCATAGGAAAATCGCACAGATCTTGTGGGGATAATGTCCGCACACAAGAGGGAACACAAATCTTTTGATTTTCGCCTAAATAGAAGGTGAGAGACTATGAGAAAACCCTTCCTTCCTGAAATAAGTATGAGAGTCGGTAGTGCCTTCCAGAGACTAATTGTAATCCACGCTGTGTTAAAATTTCCCTTGAAGTTAGCCCCTCATGTTCTTGGTAGGGGAGGGGAAATGGTCCGATATGCCAAATTGTCCCAAATCAGGTTATGAATTTCAGGGATTATGAACTTCTAGGACAGCAAAGATGCATATTCACATGCAAACACTAACTTGCTTTTTCAAAGTCAAATTTAAAAAGACTGTTTTGCACACTTCGGCCCTGTCCCAGTTAATACACAGTTAATTATAATTTCAAAAATCTCCATGAATCCTTATTGTGAGAGCTTTAAAACTGTTGCTGAGAGTATGTTGTCCCATTCCCAGCCAGTGAAAACAACCAAATCAAGTTAGGGCAGAAAATCATCTCTCATCTGCTCTGGAGAGAAAGAGGCCCCAGGAAAGGAGGCGAGGGTGGTGGACCTGGCATGTCCTCGGCGACCTGGGAAACACCGCCCAAGGCAGGGCTTTGGGGACTGCCAGGTCCTGGGCCTTCGGCACCCCAGCATACTGTCACCGGAAGCCTGCTGGCCCTGGCAGGCTCACAAAAACGTACATGTAAGTCATCACTGCCTTTCCAAGTGGAAGCCAAGGAAGCGTCGTCTTCACATTTTGTGTGAAAGGCCAAATAAGAACTGAAATTCAGGAATGAAAATTCTTGAATAAAAGTGCAGGAACTTTGACCTCATTCGCCCAAAGTGTTTGTGACACAAGTCTATCACTGTGTTCATTTCACTGGTGCCCCTCAAAATCAAACCAAACAACCACCCAGGAATCCCATGAAATCATGCAGTTTCCAGTGAAATCATGCTGAAGATGCTTGATAAACTACCCCTCTAAATCTTTACCTGCAGAAGGCTAGGTGTAAATTGTTCAACAATAAAGTTAACAGTTGAAGTCACCAAAATGACACAGCAGATGGTGACCATCCATATTACAGAGACAGAATGTGCCCAACCAAAAGATTCTTTGCATCTTCTTTAAATATGCAGAGTGATCCTCTATATTTAAACATTTCATTACAGATATTTACTTGTCGAGTCGGAAGCATCATTTTTTAAGTGCCAATCTTAAAGGTCAATCAGAAATTCACAAAGAAGCAACCAGAGATTAGTAATGCCAAGCATATAAGAAGTAAGTTTCAAGGCACAAAGACTGTATTCCTACCTAAAACTTCAAAGACATGCTTCCTGCGTAGGACAGGCTACCAGGGTGCAGATGTAGCCTTGTGGGAGGTCGACAATGCTGTTTTCTCCAGAAGGAACCCAGGTCTTTCCCAGGCTTCTGGCTGAGTCCTAAAAATCTCGAAAAGCTCAACTCCTTTGGTTTAATTTGTTCTTAACTAAAATATAAATCCATTAATCTGGCTACTTTTTCAACCAGTAATAATTAACTACCCTCTTATTTAAAAACGTTTCAAATCTTCTCCCAAGAGCTAGTGCTAATAATGTGAAAGAGAGCAGCATGCCCCACAGTCTCCAAAGGAGGGACAATAACCACTTAGAGCAGAGAAGAAGAAAACAAGCCCCCCGACTTGGGTTGGAACCGGCCAAACTCTTGCCTGCACCACCACAGTCCACCATAGCCTCTGGAAACAGTGGGGATGGTGAGTGACGGGAAATCTGTGCTCCTGCCGCAAACCTGTTAGGCTCCCTGGGCCCTGTAGGACCCCAGCCCCCCACGGGAAACTGCCTGATCCACAGACTTGCTCCAGCCTACAGAGGTGCAGGAAAAAGTTTTGAGCCACGCCAGTCACCATTTCCCAGGATCTCAACCCTTGCAGGGATGCAGCCAGTTTGGGAGGGAATGGGCCCAGGGCAAACTCGGTGCAGGCACACAGTCCCTGGCTGGGCAGGTGACCTGAGGACACAGCGGGGGCTGGCCTTGACATTCAGACAGCAGAATGCCCAAGGCCAAGGTGGAGCCAAGTGAAAGGCATTGCCATAGCAACCTCTCCCTCCCCTGGTGAAGTCTTCTGGGTCTGCCCTGCACAGCAGTGTCACCCCAGTGGCTGAGGATTCCCCATAGTCCCCGCGGGGGCAGCTAAGAGTGCACACTTGGGGGTGACTTGGCTCCTCTTCCCTGCAATACCTCAGAAGATACAAAAGAGACAGATAACTTGGGCCTGCCCTTGGTCTAAGCTGGCTGGGTACTTCCTTGGAGCAGCAGTCGCCAAGGAGAAATCCTATAGCCACCTTCATAGCTGGCTTTCTCCATCATCATCATCTCCTGGCCAGAGGTCAACAGTATAGCCAACTATAGCAGACACAATACCTCAGCTTTGGGGAAGGCCAGATCCCAAGTGCCAGCAAACACCTTCCAAGCCATGCTGGCCACTCAGGATGATGTAAGCCAGTGAAGGTACACAGCACAGCGCTGCCACAGCTGGCAACTGGAAAACTCACCACACCAAGATTACACATAACCAAAGGAACCCCACAGTGCCTACATCAGGCCCCTGCCAACTTCAAATAGGAATAACTAGTCTACTCACATGAGAAGGAACCAGAAAAATAATTCTGACAATATGAAAAAACGGAGTTCTCCAACACCCCCCAAAGATCACACCAACTCTTCAGCAACAAATCCTAATCAAAATGAAACTGCTGAAGTTCCAGACAAAAATTAAAAAGGTTGAGGATAATATTGATCAAGAAACTTTAGGAGAAAACTGAAAACCAACATAAAAAAATTAAGAAAAAATAATAAAATAAACCATTCAGGACATGAGTGAAAAATTCTCCAAAGAGACAGACATTAAAAAAAAACCAAGCTGAAATTCTGGAAAGGAAAGAAGCATTTAGTACAAAATGCAGTGGAAGCTTTAACAGTAGACTAGAACAAGCAGAAGAAAGAATCTCAGATAGCTAGGCATTCAGATACAAGAAGCCCAAAGATCCTCCAGAAGATTCATTGCAAAAAGGATATCCCCAGGGCACATAACCATCTAGCTATGCAAAGATAATGTGGAAGGAAAGAATTTTAAGAGAAGCAAGACAAGAGCATCAAATAATTAACCAAGGTAAGACTATCAGACTGAGAGCAGACTTCTCAGAAGAAACCCTAGAAGCCAGAAGGGATTGGGACCCTATCTTCAAACTCCTCCAACAGAAGAACAGTCAGCCAAGGATTTTGTAATCCACAAAGCTAAGTTTCATAAATAACCCTGAAATGAAGTCCTTTGCAGACAAAAACACAGGGAATTTGTCACCACTACACCAGCTCTATAAGAAATACTCAAAGGAGCTCTAAATACTGAAACAAAAGGCTGAAATATACCAAGAGAAAAACATTGAAAATTGTAAAGTTTCCAGGCCTTATGAAACAGCAACACAGTAGAAAAAATAATTAAACAAATAATAACCTGTATGATGAATAGAATGGTACCCTCCATATCATTATTAACTCTGAACATAAGTGGTCTCAATGCCCCACTAATAAGATATAGACTGGCAGAATGGATTTAAAAAACACAGCCCAAATATCTGCTGCCTTCAAGAGACCCATGTCACTCACAAAGACTCCTGTTGACTCAAGGAAAAGGGATGGGAAAAAATATTCCATGCAAATGGAAATAAAAAATGAGCAAGAGTCATGCTCATATCAGATAAAACAGACTTTAAATTAGTAACAGTAAAAAAAGACAAAGATGATTATTATAAAATGATAAAGGGGTCAATTCAATGAGAAAACAAAACAATTTTAAATATATATGTGCATAACATCAGAGCCTACAGCTTTATAAAACAAATTCTACTAGGCCTAGAAAAAAGAGATAGGCAGCAATATAATAATAGTGGGAGATTTCTACACTCCACTGACAGCAACAGACAGATCATCAAGCAGAAAGTCAACAAAGAAAACTTGGAGTTAAACAGGACTCTAGTAGCAATGGAACTAACAGACATGCACAGAAGATTCCATCCACAATCTACAGAATATACATTTTTCTCATCAGCACATAAAACATTCTCCAAGATAGATCATTGATAAGCCACAACTCAAGTCTCAATAAATTTTTTAAAAGGGACATCATATCAAGCACCTTCCCAGATCACAGTGTAATAAAACTAGAAATTAACTCCAAAAAGAATTCACAAAACCAAGGAACTAGAAAAACAAGAACAAATGAAACCCCAAGCTAGCAGAAGAAAATAAGTAATGAAGATCAGAGCAAAACTAAAAGAAATTGAGAGATTAAAAAATACAAAGGACCAATGAAACAAAAAGTTGGTTCTTTGAAAACAAACAAAATTGATAGACCACTAGTTAGATTAATTAAGAAAGAGAAAAGACTCAAATTAGCTCAATCAGAAATGAAAAAGGAGGCATTATAACTG